CTATTTCATATGTCTTTCATCATTTTATCCCATGGCTATATAATATCAATGTGCACACATACAAATAAGTATGTAAACATAGTACACGCATATCACATGTCATGATATAACATCTAAAATCATCTAACATGAGCATAAATCATCACATAATGTAAATAACATCATAACTCATGTAATGCTACTAAACGCATATAAACCATTTAATGTCTAGCCGATCAGACTTTTCTTAGCATCTTAAGCACTTCATATCATCTAGCCTCAAATTCATCTAGAGCTCATATCATCGGGAGGCGTGCTTATGCGTTATTTAGCATCTAAAGCATATATTCATCTTTCCTCAACCGGTATACGAGGATATGCTTACACGTTTCCCATCATGTCTATATGAATCTCTAACATCTTATGGCATGTAAATACATATTTTGGTGAGCTTAATACTTTTAATTCATCTATGGATTATCAATCCATTTACATTACCTCTTGCTCACATACATCATCTTAAAACATGTATTACATTGCATCTTCATGCCATTTCATAACATTAATCATGCATTGACATCATGACCATGTATATCTTTCAAAGATCATCTAACTAATGGGTAAACATTAGTACATGGCATAATTACAATAATACATTAATAATCAATTGCCAAATTATAAGAAGTGAACTGTTAAATCTTAAACTTTAATAACCAGTTTATACTTCAGGCCATTTCCATCCATTTCTCAAGCGAATTGGCTCTTTCCATAAAAATAAAAGTTATAGGTCTGTTTCTTAGCTTTCTAATGCTTCAAAAATCATCTCATTTAGATTTTTATAACTAAAGTTATGGTCTAAATACTGAAGCAGGGTTAACAAAACCCCTAAGCTTACTAAATCCGAATTTTCATATAACATGCCACATCAATTCATATTGACATTAACCAATAGGTTAACTTATGGATCAAATAAATCTCCCCTAAATAGTCTTTAACATCTTAAAGGAAGTGTAAAATCTCATTCCCATAATCATCCATTATTGTTATAACATTGTAAGCTAATGCAAAAAACACCTCAACACTTTAATAGCAACCATTCAACACCATGGCCTCCAATACTACAAGTTTTTCCACAATCAGCATCACACTTATTTCTTCAATCAAACAACACAACTCATAACTAAATAGCAATAACTTATGTATAATGAATTCAAGGCAATAAGTAGAATAAATGAGTTCAACCACACTTGTCATCAACAATTCTATGCCTAAGCCTTAATTTAAGGTTTCATAAAAATCCACAAAACTAGCATAAACCCTAAAGTCATGGGAGGTTCTTCCTTACCTTTTTAAAGACTTCCTCCAACAAATCCTTTGCCTTTGTCTTCTTTTACACCTTAATTCTACATATATAACATTATACCTCAACATCTACTTCAAATCTTCAAATCACATCAAAACTAAAGTTTTTAATCCTTACCTTAAACCCTTCAAATTGAACATCCAGGACCTATCTTGTTCTCCTTGAAAAATTATGCAAAACTCCTTTAAACCTTAGAGAAAGAAAGCTTGTTTCATGGAAGATTTGAGAGAAAATGGAAGAAATGCTCTCTCCCTTGGCTTGAATGAATTTCATCTCATTTATAGGAAAATATTTCATTTATTTTCCAAAATTAAGCAAATGGCCCAATTATTTTAGTTGTATAACTCATAAGTCCTTAATTCTTCATATAAGGGCATTTTGGTCATTTCACACTAGACATAATTATTACTTAATTAATGCCATTAAATGAAATTGAGCCTACTCACCCTTGATTTTTTCAATGCTTATCCATAGGCAAAATGACTATTTTGCCCTTAATACCTTTCTATGAATAATTGATTCATGCCATTCCAAATGAATTGACTATTTTGCCATTAGTTAGATTTTATACTTTTTAACATAAAATTAACATCTAAAGAACTATTTTAAGTTAGGAACATACCTTTGACATTTTGGGTATTACATTGAAATCAAAATTTTTTTGATTGCTTCTTGGTTCTTAAAAGCTAAAGAGGATCTAGCAAATCCCTCTCTAGTTCTTGGGGTTGTCTTCGTGTGGATTATATTGGTTCGATCCTACACTTGGGTCGGTAGCGAAATCCGTTCAGAGACAAACTTGGAGGAGCCTCCAAACTTGCGTATGATTTCTAAACTTTAAACTAATTTTTCTGCAAATTCTATTATAACGTATAAACTGTAATTTTTGTGCCCTGATCTTGGTTCTAAGGAACGATCTATCATGTAAATTATTATTTTTTTCCGCTGCCATAGATGATTGTTTCCTAACATCTCATTCATTGTTTATTATTTGTTTAGCGTCATACATATTTATTACATATATTTGTTGGTGTTGGGTGTCTTTAACTTGCTTGGGTTGGTGATAGTTTTATTTCCACAAATATTTTGAAAGTATCATATTCACCCCCCCTTCTAGGACTCTTTAGCCATATAGGATTTTACAATTGGTATCAAAGCTTGGGCTCTTGTGTTGAAAACCTAACGGTTTCAAGAGTTAATTGATGTAGATATGGCTAGTACATCAACACATCTCTTTAATGAAGGTCATTGTACTACAAGACCTTCATTGTTTTGTGGTGTAAACTTCACACAATAGAGAATTAGAATGAGACTCCACATTAGATCTATAGATTATAACTTGTGGAAAATAGTATAACAAGGTATCTTTGTTCCCATGAGCCTCTCAACGAGTCTTCCTAAAGAGGAAGAACATTACAGAATCGATGATGAAAAGAAATTAAGCTTAAATGACGAAGCTCTTAACATTTTATTTTGCTCTCTTGTTTTGGAAGAGTTTTGGCATGTGAAACGGCCAAAGATGCATGGGAAATTCTTCAAACAACTCATGAAGGAACAAGCCATGTGAAGGAATCAAAGATCGAAATACTATTCCATGATTATGAACTATTTGAGATGAAAACTGGAGAAAGCATCACCGACGATTTTCAAACTTGATAAATGACCTTAAGGGTTTTGGAAAAAGTTTTGAAACTCTTGAGCTTGTGAAGAAGATCCTTCGTTCACTGCTAGAAAGTTGGACAATGAAGGTGACTGCGATTGAAGAATCAAAAGATCTCTCCAAGATGAAAATGGATGAGCTCATTGGTAGCTTATTAACTTTTGAGATGAAGAGAAAGCTAAAAGAAGAAGAAAGCAAACCAAAGAGGGAGATTGCTCTCAAAACGGTAAATGAAGAACATGAAGGAGATTCCTCTATGGAAGAAGAAGAAATCAACTTCTTGGTAAGAAGATTCACTAAGTTTCTTTGAAGGAACAAAAGATTCAAAGGAAGAAACTTCCAAAGGTTCAAACCAAGAAATGAAAATGAAAAAGGCATATTAAAATTTGTTCACATATACAAAATAAGTCTTAATAAACAGATGGTGATTTTTCTTATAAGAAACTGATAATATGCATTAGAAAAACATGAGTTACACCGGTGGAATTTTCCATTTTTTTCTTCTCCACCCACCACCCCTCTATCCACCCTCATCCTCCATCCTCCACTTTTACCATTAAACTTCACCTGTCCCTCTAACCAGAGAGCTTCATCATTTTCTTTTCTTTTCTTTTCACATTTTCCTTCACAAACCTGCACTTTGTTTTTCTGTTTTTGGTTAACGTTTTAGTTTGCTATGTTTCAGTCCTTCTTTGCTGTGTTCGGGGGTTTTATTTGGGTTTAAATCAAGCTCCTTGGTTGTTTGCTCTCCTGTCTTCTCTTTTGCTTGTTGGTGGCTGTTGTGGTTGAGCTTGTTTGTGTGGGCTATTTCTTGGCTTGGTCGGATTGGGAAGAAGGTGGGTAGCTGGAGTTTTGCTGGTTGCGGGAGTCATTTCGTTCATTTTCGTTTTTTTGGAGTTGCTGTTTGGTGTTGAGGTGAGGTAGGAGTAAAGGGGCTGTTTGTGGTTCTATTTTGATCAGAAATGTATAGTGGGTTGGTGGGCTAGCCTGTTGCCGCCGGATTCTTGTTGGTCACCGGAGTGTGGGTGCTTCTTTGGCCGGAGCTTTGTTGTTTTGGCTGGAGTTGTCTGCCATTTTTGGTTGTGGTTCACTCATTGAGTGAGACAACTTGAACCCCTCCACTTGCTATCCATTGGTAACCTTCTCTCCCATTGGCTCATTTGGATTTTTGAGATTTTTTCTTATCCACATTCTCTTTGGACTGGTTAATAGGCTGTTTCATAAGTTTTTTTGCCACCTCACTTGTTTTTCATTGGTTCCCCTTTGATTTCCTCATCTCTTATCTCTTTGACTTCAAATTATGACAACTCACCAACCAATCATCCATCTCTCCCCTCTACCTCATCAATCTCAAGCTGACTCATCTTGCCACGTCCCCCAAGATGCCACGTCACCAGCCCTGCCACATCACCAAAAAAAAAAAAAATTTCCCTACACTTCCCAAACCTTCCCAAAGCCATACTTTGCCTCCCAATGGTCTGTTTCTTGTGAATTCTTTGAATACAAGTGAGACAAAGAGTTCTGGTGGGTGTTTAAGAGCCAGCAAGTTGGGGGTGGAAGAGTGATTGATAAGGTTGGCTTGGAAATTTGTGATGGGAATGTGCTGGTTGATTCAAAGGTGCCTGCAATTATGATGCATGGCGAGAAAGCGGTGAGTGGAGGTGGGACTTTTGGGGAAAAGGTGAACGGGGAATTAAAGCCAGTGGGTATTGCATCCTGGAGAAAACTTTTTGTTTCAAAATCTAGTGCTCCAATGGAATATTTTGCACCGGAAGTCCTTGATGATGGGAGGAGTATAAGGGTTATACCTCCTAAAGAGGTTGCTGATTTGGGTAAGGATAAATGGGGAAATTGTCTCGTTGGTTTCTTCCTTGGCAGAAGGTTGCCATTCTCTCTTGTGAAGGGTTTTATCGATAGGAATTGGAAGTACTTCGGCAAGGTTGGTGTTGTCTGAAATGGGGTTGGGGGCTTTATTCTGAAATTTGATAATGAGAGCTCTACATGGATAACATCACGGATGCGGGGGATAGATTGGAGTATGCAAGAGTTTGTGTTGAAATTGACACAGCTTCTTCATTCCCGAATTCAGTGGAACTAGGCCTCCCGAATGGTGATTGTGTAAACATAGGGGTGGAGTATTCTTGGAAACCGAGGGCCTGCCCTTTGTGTAGAACTTTTGGGCATAATTTGAAGGAATGTCACTTGGCCCCTCGATTTGAGAAGGAAAGCACCGAGAACAAGAACTTGAATCTTACTCAAGAATGGCGAATGGTGACTAAGAGGAAGGAGAATGTGTCAAAGGACGTGGTTGTNTCTTCTCCAACATAAAATTATCAATTTTAAATTGAGTTCAAAATCAATTTAACTTTTTCTTGTTGCTAGTCATGTATGTAAAATCATGAGTGCCATTTCACCTTCTGGTTATTTTGGAATCGCGTTGGTTTCTTGGTCACTATAATTGATCAGAACTGCTATTCTTCACTACATGAAATCAATTGCTTGTTGTTTTGATGTATTTTAGATGATGCTCCGAGGTCGATGTTGGACATTAATCATGAGCTTATACATCATGGACTTCATATATGGATGTTCAGGAGCACTTGACCTCTGCTTTTGCAGTTTATATGTTTGTCCAATAATCACTTTGGATTGCAGCTAGTAGCTCTCCAATGACTCAAGTCTTGTTTGTTCTTTCATATGACAATGGTGATATAGATGCAATTATCACAATTACATCTAGGGGTGTGTAGGAATTTAGGGTAGAACCAGAACCGGTGGGTACCCAGGTCCTGATTCTAGTTCCTACCTGGAACCGGCCTTCACAGGATCAATTCTGATTCCCTATTAGGTGGAATCGGTACTGTGCAGTTTCGGTATCACTTCCACAAGTTCATGGAACTGGAACCGAGATCTGGGTACCCAGGTTGGAAACGGTTTAGGAAACAGGAGTTATTTCTTAATTTGTGGTCTATCACTTTAATTTCCCCTTAATGTTTGCTAAAATGCATGTCGACCAAGTCCATTCAGGATTATTTCTTAATTATCCTCCACCACAAGCTAAGGTGACAACTTGCTAACACTACTTTTATAAGAAAAAAACAATTCTTCATTATTCATACAAAAAATCAACAAAGCATAAAAAAAAACCAAGTACGAAGAATAAATGAATAATAAAGAGATAGCCTTTAGAATAAAGGAGAAGAAGGGAACAGAAAGAGAAACGGGTTTTAGGGCTACCTTGGCTAGGGTTTTGTGTGGGAACAACAAGATAAGAGAAGAAAGGAGAGAACTTGGCTTGTTTTGTTTGCAGGTGACGCTTAGGGTTTTGGTTTAGCCTTTGAATCATAAAGAGATAGTCTTTAGAATAAAGGAGAAGAAGGGAATAGAGAGACGGGTTTTGTAGGGCTACCTTGGCTAAGGTTTTGTGTTAGGAAGAAGAAGAGAAAGTAAGAAATGAGAGAACTTGGCTTGTTTTGTTTGCAAGCGATGCTGAGGGTTTTGGTATAGCCTTTGCTTTTATAAAAAAGCTTTTAGAGTGATTGGTACATGAGTTATGATCCGACGGTCAAGATTCATTGTGAGATGGGGGAGTATTTGTAATTTTCATAGGGTTTATTTGTCATTTTTGTAACTAATAGGGATGTATTAATATTTTCTAGGGTACCCGAAACGAGAATTGAAACCTGTGTTAGGATTTAGTCAACATGTGAACTCATTTAATAATTTAATTAATACAATTTAACATATCAATCTAGTTGATAATTCAACTTAATTATATATGATTTAATTAGTATATAAGTTATTTATTTTTTTAAAATTGAGGGGATTGAATAAATATTGAAAGATGATGGTGAAACATCAACGGTAATGAGTAAAATTTTAAATCCAATTAATGTATCAAAAAAATGTATTTGAAAAATAACATTATTGTAACACCTACTGAAAACTAGTACAATGCATGCAATTAACAATGGAAAATTGGGCCCAAAAAGTTTCTTTTCATTACAATTCACATGTCTTTTATACACAAAGGTTAGTGTTTACAAAAGTGCATTTCAAAAGACCAAAATAGGGGAACAGTGTAGCTATTGCTCCTCGCGCGCCGACGCCCCTCCAACCGCATCATCACCTAGAACCTGCATCCACAAAGGAAANAGAGAAACGGGTTTTAGGGCTACCTTGGCTAGGGTTTGTGTGGGGAACAAGAAGATAAGAGAAGAAAGGAGAGAACTTGGCTTGTTTTGTTCGCAGGTGGCGCTTAGGGTTTTGGTTTAGCCTTTGAATCATAAAGAGATAGTCTTTAGAATAAAGGTGAAGAAGGGAATAGAGAGACGGGTTTTTTAGGGCTACCTTGGCTTGGGTTTTGTGTTGGGAAGAAGAAGAGAAAAGAAGAAATGAGAGAACTTGGCTTGTTTTGTTTGCAAGTGATGCTTAGGGTTTTGGTATAGCCTTTGCTTTGATATAAAAAAGCTTTCAGAGTGATTAGTACATGAGTTATAATCCGACGGTCAAGATTCATTGTGAGATGGGGGAGTATTTGTAATTTTCATAGGGTTAATTTGTCATTTTTGTAACTGATAGGGATGTATTCAACATTTTCCAGGGTACCCGAAACGAGAATTGAAACCTATGTGTTAGCATGTGAACTCATTTAATAATTTAATTAATACAATTTAACATATCAATCTAGTTGATAATTCAACTTAATTATATATGATTCAATTAGTATATAAGTTATTTATTTTTTTAAAATTGAGGGGATTGAAGAAATATTGAAAGATGATGGTGAAACATCAACGGTAATAAGTGACAATGAAAAGATGGAGCTCTTAAGTTTGATAGGATTTGCCGAGGGTAGTTTTCCCATCAAATACTTAGGTGTACCCCTTATTACCTCTAAGCTTACCTTTGGAGATTGTCGTCCTCTCTTGGATAAAATCTTGGCTCGGGTTGCCTCTTGGAGAAGTAGGTTTCTATCCTATGCGGGGAGGATTATTTTGATTAAATCCATTCTTTGGAGTGTGCAAATTTATTGGTCGTCCCTCTTTACTCTTCCTTCCAAAATTCATAAGGAAATTGATGCTAGTTTGAGAGCTTTTCTTTGGTCCGGAGTTGATATGTATAGACACAAAGCTAGAATAGCTTGGGAGGAGGTATGTGTACCCAAAAATGAGGGTGGGCTTGGGTTTATGAAATCTAAGGAATGGAACCTCGCAGCTTCTTTAAGACATATTTGGAACCTGTGCAATCACAGAAACCATACTTTATGGGTCTCTTGGGTCCGAATTTATCTTTTGAGAAATAGAAGCATTTGGGACATATGCATTCCCCAAAATTGTACATGGTCATGGAGACATATCCTCAAAAATAGGGAAAGGGCTAGAAAGAAAATCAAATATAACATTGGCAATGGTAACACCACCTCTCTTTGGTTTGATAACTGGCACCCGAACGGCCCCCTTGTTTGCACCTATGGGGAAAGGATTATTTATGATGCGGGGATTGGTAAGGATGCTAAAGTGAGTTCTGTGGTTGATGGATGCAACTGGAAGTGGCCAACTGCCAATTCTTGGGCTCTTATTAACATGGGGAATTCTGTGAATTTCACTCCTTCTAATGTTGATGACAAGATTTGTTGGATACCCTCACCTTCGGGGGATTTCTCTACCAAATCGGCTTGGGAGGCAATTAGAGGAAGGAGAGCAAAAGTTGAGTGGTGTGACTTGGTGTGGTTCTCAAAGGCTATTCCAAGATACTCTATGATCTTATGGATGGCTATAAAGGAGAGATTACCTACAAAGGACAGGTTGATGAGGTATGGGGCTGCTACTAATGCTCATTGTTGCTTTTGTAACTCATCCGTGGAATCTCTTGACCACTTATTTTTTGCATGCCCTTTTTCTAAGTCTATTTGGAGCAAGATCCTTAGGCTTGCTGACCTTGGTTATGTGGTTAGACCCTGGCATGATTACATCCCCCATTTGGCAAGGATATGGAAAGGTAAGAGTCTAAAATTAACTTTGGGTAGGCTTTGTTTAGGGGCTACGGTTTATTGGATTTGGAGGGAACGAAATTCGCGAAGTTTTAGGGGTGACCATAAGGATTCTTTCACCATAATCGATGCTATCAAAAGTGTTGTGAGAGATAAAGCTTTGGACCTTAGGAATGTCACTGCATCCTATAGCAATAGGAAGTTGGCGAATGATTGGGGCCTCCCTAGATCTATTTTCAAAGACGTTCCTCAAGTTCTCAACACCATTTGAAGATTGGATTACAGAGGGTTAAGCAGAAGGGTTTTTTGCTTGGTTGTTTTGTCTCATTGGTAGAGCGTTTGTTTTTTGTATTTCTTTTAATGATCCTAACCTAGGGAGGTGTCCTATGGTAGGTGGGATTTTTGGTGTTCTCTTTTCTTTCTTCTTGGTGTTTATCTCCCTTTGTGGTTTTTGATAAACCCCTAGAGCGGATGGCTGTTTGTAGGCTTGTTTCTTTTGTTTCCTATTTTCGGGGCATGTCCCAAAATAGGCTGGTCGCCTTTTATTAGGACTTGGTAGATTCTTATGTTTTTTTTATATGATTACTTACTTCAAAAAAAAAAAAAAAAAATGAGTAAAATTTTAAATCCAATTAATGTGTCAAAAAAAATTTTTTGAAAAATACATTATTCATGCATTAGTCATGTAGAAAATTTATATTATGCAAAAAAAAAAAAAAAAAAAAAAAAAAAAAAAAAAAAAAAAACAAAAAAAAAAAAAAAAAAAAAAAAATTGTACAAGACCAACATTTCATGTGCATTAAACATGTTGATTGTCAAGATGTAAAAGGTTTTGGGCTCTAACTTATGAACTGTTCAAGGGTCCTATTACAATACTTCATCCATTAATCCAATGGTTCATAATGGGATTTTAGTTTTGAGCATTTGAAAGATTAATTACAAAACCATATGATTTTTGGTTTTTAGCATCATTTAGATGTTTGGTTTTTAATTTAATTAATCCAGTAAATTAGTTTTATTGATATTTGATAAGTGTTCAATATGTGACAAGTAGTATTAGTCTTAATGTGGAGTCTGCATTTCCACATCAGGTGCCTCAAAAAGGTCTATGCAGCAAAAAATGATAAGTCATAAATAGTATCAAATGTGTGAAGAATGTATTTTAGATAAATGATAAGCATCCAAAAAGTTTCGAGTTGAATCAATTAATTTCCAAACAAAGAATCTCAATTATAAAACTAATTAATTAGTAATTAACATCAATTCTAACATAATTAATTCCTAACAGGTTTAATGTAAATACATATATTACATGTCTGTTTAAGAAATTAAGCCA